CCCCCAACTAGTCATGGCAAAGGCTTGTCTGTGCTTATATAATAGAAGTTTGCTGGACTAACCAACTCAATTCGAGTAAGAAATCACTGCAGGAGCTGGGCAGGGTGTGTGTGTGTGTGCGTGTGCGTGTGCGTGTGCGTGTGTGTGTGTGTGTGTGTGTGTGTGTGTGTGTGTGTGTGTGTGTGAAATACCAGTACTTGGGAGGTAGAAAGCAGGAGGACCTTAGCTCAGCTACTCTGAGATTTCATGGCACTTCAGGCTACTGGAGACCCTGTCTCCAAAACACAAGATAAAGGCTGGCGTGATGGCCCAGGATGTGAGATGGTTACTGCAAATAGGGAAACCAGTTAGACTCTGGGGCCTACACGGTGGAAGAAAACTAACCTCTGCATGTATACTGTGGCATGTGTGTAGGCACACATGTACACATACACAAATAAATACATGTAAATAAAAAGTCAAACATCAAGGTAGATACCCTTCTTGTATACTGTAAATTTCAGAATGACATGGTGCTCACAGGAGCCGATGGAGCCATTGCCAGTGTGACCAGCTCCTGATCTGAGATGTGACTTTGTGTTTACCAGTCATCGGCTATCAGTCACTAATCATGCAATTGTATGACAGATTGATGAGATATGATCAGAAAAGAAAACAAATGTTTCTGCAAATGGAGTTGGAAGCTTTGTGGAGACCAGAGGATGGCCCCGTGGGTAAAAGGGCTTGCTGTGTCCAAATTCAGATCCTCAGTATCCACACAAAACCTGGGGGTGGCCACATGCACCTGAACCCCAGGGAGCAGGGAGCTAGACAGAAGGATCACCTGGGCTTGCTGGATAGCCAACCTGCCTGGAAAATGAGTACATCCAGGTTCACTGAGGGTCACTGAGGGGAACATACACACACACACAGACACAGACACACAGATACAGACACACATGCACGCACTCGCGCACACACACATATACACAAAACACATATATACACACACCACATGCACACACACATACCCCACATATACACATACATACACATCACATACACACACACCTCATACACACACACTTGCGTGCTCATGCACACAGGGGAAGAAGAGGAAGATGAGGAAGAGAGGAAGAAAGGGGGAGGAGGAAGAAGGGGAGGAGGACGAAGACGAGGTAAGATCACTCCTGGCAGAAGTAATGGCATGAGCAAAGGCTCTGAGGTTGGAAAGGGCTTGGTATGTTTTAGAAACATGAGGAAAGCTAAACTCCGGACGAGTGAGGTATCTAGCGGTGATGGTGGGGACTGGACAGATTGTATACTTCAGGACTTGGATATCAGAATTTGGGGTTTATCCTAAGAGCAACAGGCAGCCACTGAAGGGTTTCGAGGAGGGATGCAGATGCCACCATCAGGTCTTCACTTTAGCCAGGTCCCTGCAGCTGCTGTGTAGAGAACAGATTGGCAGGGGTGAGGCTCTCAGGAGGGAAGCCAGTCTGGAAACCACAGCAATGGTCCAAGCAGAGGGAGCAAGGGCTGTGACTAAGGCAGAGGTGGGCTGGAAAGACCTGAGAGACACGGTGGAGGTAAAAACACACAGGACTTGGTTAATTAGATGTAGATGAGAGAGATGATGAAAACGACTGATGCCCAGTTTTCGGGAATGAGGACTGGGACGCCACTGGCACCATTATAAGACCATCTAACCAATGGCAAGAGATGCGGAAGATGAGTAACCTAGTGGGAAGGCAGGCGTGGGGACGGCCGTATGTGCCACACAGTACCACATGATGTGCAAGAAGGACGTTGGCAGTGGCTCTAGGGGCGGGGCAGGAAGGGAGAAGCTCGTCTGACAGTCATCAAGGGGTAAAGAGATTTCAGTAGATGAGGCAGTTGCAAAGACACTGGAGACAAAGGAGCTGGGAAGATGACACAACGCAGAGTGGGTGACAGTGGCCCTGCGAGTCCCTGAATGGCAACCCGAGGAATCAGTAAAGAGAAATGACTCTCAGTTTCTGCAGAAGTGAATATAATGTGGCCCTCCCTGTTCAGAGGCTCAGCAGTGGGTGTGGGAGGCGTAGAGTAGGTGCCCATTCTCTCTCTCTCTCTCTCTCTCTCTCTCTCTCTCTCTCTCTCTC